TTGTAGAAAATTGGTAGTCGAAACCGACGCGCTGTACTTGGCAGGCATGCTAAGGAACGTTGGTAACCTGCCAAATGCAAATATCAACCGTTGGGCTGAGGAGATCCTCATGTTTCAGTTTACCTTGAAACATGTCAGAGGAATCACCTTCTCACCAGATGGCTTGTCGCGACGACGACCTGCGCCTGGAGACGAAGAGTATCCCAATGACGAAGAGGAAATCTTCGACGAGCCACCACCAGAGAACAACGAGAATTGGGATTACGACACAGAACAACCATTAGACTTTGAAGAGTTCAAAAGGGACATTGACACCAGAGGTGGCTACCTTAACTCTATGGTCGGGTGTGCTGAGTCGGTCGACGACATATCCAAAGAGCTAGTCGAAGCTTGCGACTCTCGTCGCGCTGAGAATCGGCGTGTCAAAGACGCATATGACGCTCAAGGACTCGTCGTTCCAGTCTTCATGCTGAACGATGTGGCAAACGGAGAACCGCTTTTGCCTGATCTTGAACTGCGCGACAATCCTGAGGATCCCTATATTGAGGATCACCGGACGGGCACAGGGATTGAACAGGACAATAAGTTGGTAATGGCTAGGAAGTGGTTGAAAGACACTTCTATAAGGCCTGAAATGACAGATAAACGGTTCAGATCGTTTCTCAAATTCTCGCGACAGTTTTTCCTCAAAAATGGAAAAATGTACAAGAGATCGACCAACGGGGTTCATAGACTGGTCGTGGACAAGCACCACAGGACTTATATGATGAAGGCGTGTCACGACGCGCTGGGTCATAAGGGTCTTTTCAGCACTAAGAGCCTGTTGGAAACTCGGTTTTGGTGGCCTGAGATGGAAAGAGACGTCGACTGGTGGATAAAGACTTGTCATAGCTGCCAAGTCCGCCAGAAAACTCTCCTCTGTACTCCACCGACGCCGACAATGACTCCAAGTGTATTTCAGAAAATACACACAGACGTCATGATTATGGGAACACCTTCCAACGGATACAGATATGTCGTCGCAGCAAGGGATTCTTTGACCCGCTACGTGGAAGCGCGACCGCTGCAGGCTGACAACGCCAAGGCAATCGCGCGTTTCTTGCTCGAGGACATAGTGTGTCGCTGGGGGTGTCCTAAGTGGATTGTAACCGACAACGCAGGACAATTTGTCGCGGCGTTGAATTGGCTGCAGAAGAAATATGGTATCAAGGGAATAAGGATATCTCCTTACAATTCCCAAGCGAATGGCACTGTTGAAAGAGGTCACTGGGACATTCGACAGTCACTGTACAAAGCTACTGGGGGAAACGCCTCCAAATGGTTTTGGTTCTTCCCACAGGTCTTGTGGGCAGATAGAATTACAGTGCGTCGCGGGCTGGGTTGTTCACCATACTTCGCAGTATGTGGGGCCCACCCTACCATCCCTCTGGATATAGTCGAAGCTACGTGGTTAGTCGAATATCCTGACCGGATCGTCGACTCTGCGGATCTCATTGGTCTCAGAGCACGCGCTCTAGCGAAACACGCCGACCATATAGAAGATATGCGCAGCCGCGTCAGCGACGCCAAATTAAAGATGGTTCAACGCTACGAGCTCGAGTACAAACATGTGATCAAAGATTACAAGTTTGTGCCAGGGGACTTAGTGTTGGTCAGGAACACAGCTATTGAAAAATCATTGGACAACAAGATGAAAGCTAGATATCTTGGTCCCATGATTGTAGTTCGAAAGACCAAAGGAGGTTCTTACTTGGTCTGTGAAATGAACGGTGCGATGTTCCATGCGAAAGTCGCGGCGTTCCGAGTAATACCCTATTTGGCAAGACAGAAGTTGACACTCTCTGAAGATATAAAGAAGCTGATAGACATTTCGCCTGCTAAACTCGATGAGTTGGTAGAGGAAATATCTGACGTCCGCGACTACCAGTTCGAAGGCGTGAAACTCAAGAACTCGGACAGTGACGACGACGACGACCCTGTAGAGGATCCAGCTTCTGTCGAGTGAAAGTCTGGCAGACAAGCAATTGTCGCGGTAGGCTCTCGCACGACAAGACGTCGCTTCTCTCAGTTTTAGACAGAATTCAGTATATTGCTTGGGTGCTAGCTGGTACCTAAGGACTATACTGGGTTGTATCTAAAAGAAAAAGGTCATAAAGGAGGTGCGCGAGAAGAAGAGACGCGACTTCATAAATAAATGACAAGAGAGAAAGAGACATATGGAAGGAGAGTGCAGATAGAACAAAATAGGAAAAGATTAGGCCGCATTCTTTGACATCGAGAGGTCAATGGCTTCCTTGACGTCCTTGAGCGCGGTCTTCCATTCCTCTAGCCGCGACGTGACGTAGTCGCGTTCCTCGATGAGGAGCTCGAGTGGAATGGACCGCCGCAACCGGTACAATTGATGTCGATGCACTCGGTCCGCAATAAACCTTCGGTCGGACGCGGACGCTGCCAATCGGTTAGCGAAGTGTCGCGACACGAGAATACAACTGCGAGACTCACCCGGGGCCGCATCAGTGGTACTGTTGCTGAGTCGCTGCCTCTTCGAGCCGGTGACAACGAACGATGGCTGGGTAATTGGTCAGAAATGTAGTCGCCGCGACTGAGTGAAACTCACGTCTGGAAACTCTGGAGACAGCTCCCTAGAGCCTCCATCTGCTCCGCGTGAAGTTTCGACATTTTGGCGCTGAGAAGACGCATCGACCTATCGTGCTCGTCTATGAGTCGAATGATAGTCCCATAGACGTCCGCGAGCCCTACGGAGTCGTCATGACCAGATCCGTCGACCGATCGAGAACCGGACCGTCCTGCGACGGTCTTGCGAGTAGATGGTCGCGGGGTCTGTGAAGAATCAACCTGTGCTCGGCAAAGGCTCGAGACGGACGCACCTTCTCTTGAACAGGAGTGGGGGCCTCCATCTCGACGTCTGAATCAATGTCGATAGCAGGAGTTGGGCCTGAAGCCTCAGGAACAGGGTCTTCGGCCTGTGCAACAATATCCGTAAGAAAATCTGGACAAAGACAGGGAATCATACCTTGGCCTTCCCAGACGACGACGGAGTCGCAGCAGGACGTGGGATGCTCTCCTGAGCCTGTCGCAGGCTGATGATCGCCGCGACAAGGGACTCATGCCAAATCAGATAGGCTCGATACTTGTTGACGGCCTTAGTCTGAGAGGCGTCGCGCTGCTTCTCTGGAACTTCCTTGAGCAGTTCCGTCTGAGACAGAGCGAGCGTGGTGGCCTCCTCGAGACAATCCAAAACGTCGCGGGGAGGATCTTGAGCAGCAAACGAGCTGGCTTGAAAGCGGGTCTGTCGACGAAATAAGATAATCGCCGCGACACGCCATCACGAATCAGCTCACTCGAACAAAGAAAATATCCTTGCCAACGCTGAGGATGCCCTCTGAACCACCTAGACCCAGCTTGTTCATCGCTGCGAGAGAAGGCTTAGCCTTCTTCCACGACGCGACGAGCGATGCGAAGTCTTGGGGGAGAGGAAATGCGGACATAGCGAGGCCTGGGTAGAGAGAAAGAATGGGAACGAAATAAGGACTGAGAATGGGACTGGACATAATCTGTCGAGCCCACCCAGACTTTATATCGTCGACTCTGGAAAAACTTTTCTAGTCGCGCATCAGATAAGCCGAGGACGGCTTAGATCTGTGTTCCTGGGAGAGGGCAGATCTTACGAAAGATCAGCCACAGAGTCCGCAGAAGCCCACACATTGGAAATTGAGGTGCGCGACAACGTGCACACCCCTTGGACCCATGTGCTGGAAAGTGGAAAATCCAATGATGCTACTGAGGACGGGGTCCGGGACTTTTTCAAAAATGTTTCAAGAAAATTCTTCCAAGAATTTTTGAAAATTTGGACTCAAAGGTTCACGCGACGACGACTCAGGCAGCAAGATGTGATTTGGATTGATCTACGACGACGACGATATGTATGCAAGATAATAAATAAAAATTCGGGACCGCGACGTTCACGGACGGTGGAACGAGCTGAACTACTGCTCATCCACCTCCATGGCAGTCTCACCCGCGGCGACGGAGCCCTCGTCCTCGACGTTGACGGACTGGCCTATCTATCCGACAAGTCCTGGCGTGTGGCAGTGCATGTCAATCAGCAATCAGTGGGCGCACGCTTCGCACACAACTGAGGGTCTCCTCAATATTCCTCAGCCCTGGCTATTCACTGGTTCGTCCAGCCCTGCATATATTTTTGATATTCACATCCCTGGACTGCTGTCTGCACATTTATCTCTACACCCCTGCCTTTCTTACTTCACCATCCACTTGTACCTGTTTTTCCCCTCTCACTTCCCTGGTTCCTCTGTTCACCGTCCCTTGCTCCATCCTGTCGATATTTCACCCACTCTGATGATTATTTCATTGTCTCACATACAAAAGCTTGTAGTTGGACAAAAGAAAAATAGATTTATTCTCCTCATAGTCTTGAGTTCAGTTCTCGTCTTCAGCTCGTTTCTACTTGGGTATTTCGACCCTCTGCTTCGTCGCATCCGTCCCACGCCGCCCTCGACTTCGTCCCACGTCTAAAATCATCATTTCTTACTGCCTGCCACGGCACTGAATCTTGTGGACCTCCTCGCACATCACACTTATTCCTGCACTGTTTTAGGTCGTAGCTGACCCCCATTTTGTGTTAGCTCGCACCTATTCCGTCCGCAGGCACGTCATTTTGGAGCCCACCGCGAGGGGATTTCAACATAGATTCTGGTGCCTCTCGCAGTCTGCGACACAACAATCATTCTGAGCTACGTCGCACGCTCCGTGAAGAGCTAGCTGTTGCTCTCAACGACCCCACAACTCTCTCTTTCGACGACGAACACCTTTTTGACATTGTCCCCAGCGCCCTTGCACAACACAACAACCTCTCACCGCATTCCCCGAGCTCTCCAACGCTATCCTGGCTCTTTGATTCGCCTCCAACAACGCGTTCACCATCCCCACTTCACAACACAAATATTCCTTCTCAAAATATGGCTACTCCCACTCCCATGCCAGCCAGAGGCGATCGAAACGCCCCAGTCTTTGATTCGTCCAAGCCCCACGAGTTGCGCCGTTATTTCCTCGATCTGGAGTTCCTTCTAGCTCGATCTGCCGTCACTGACGCTGCCCAAATGAAGGGGCATGCGGTCAGATTCCTTTCCGTCGAAGATCAGGAGATTTGGGAAGGTCTACCGTCATTCTCAGACGCCAACAAATCGTACCACGACTTCAAATTGGACGCCCTCAGCCTCTACGCAGGGAACGACACAGATCGTCGTTTCAGCCTCGACGATTTGGACATGCTCGTTGGGCAGACATCTCGCATGGGAATCCACACAAAGGACGACCTCACACAATTTTATCGACGATTCCTACACATCACAACATTCCTGATTAGCAAACAACGACTCTCTGTGGCAGAACAGAGCCGATTTTTCCTTCGAGCTATGAATCCAGCCTCGTTGTCCGTCTCAGTTCGCCAGAGACTTCAGATCAAGAAGCCAGACGTTCACCCTGAGGATCCATATGATTTGTCAGATCTGTACGACGCTGCTAAATTCGTCCTTTCAGGATCATCGACCTTACTTCCTGGAATGCCCACGTCTCAGCCCGGAACCAAGCTCACAATCAAATCAGACCCTGGAATTACTGCACTAGTTTCATCTGTCTCAGATCTAGTTCGAATAATCGCTGCTCAACACGCCAATCCTGGTGCCCCAGCACAATCACAGTCCGCCAACGCCCTGCCCCGCCGTCGCCGTCCTGATGGCTGCAGTTATTGCAGTGATCTCGAGCATTTTATCAGCCAATGTCCCCACGTTTCGACGGATATTCGAGACGGAAAATGCCGCCGCAATGTGGATGGGAAAGTCGTCCTCCCCTCAGGCGCATATGTGCCAAATATTGTCCAAGGAAAGGATCTTCGAGAGCGCATTCAGAAGTGGCATGAAGCGAACCCAGGTCAGGCAGCAGCTCCGCAGATGATTTTGGAAGTTTCTCACCAGAATTTGCTGTCTTCTGCGGCGCCTGGGCTCGTTCAAACGTTCAAACTCACGGACGAAGAACGAATGGCAGTTCTGACGGCTGAAATTAATCAACTACGCACACGGGCCCAAGCTAAACGCGCTATGGAAGTTGCTAATCAACCAGAAGTCCCTGAACGCACTATTCCACCGGCGGTAGCGCGAAATCCAGTCGTTCCACCTGTTCCAATCGAAACCGTCCCTCCTGCGACCGCCCCTGCTGCTCCAGTTGCCCCGCCTCAACCCCCAATCCATCCGTACGCCGCAGCTCGTGATGGCGCTTACGCACCGCCCAAAGAACGAAATGTTGGGATTCCAGCGCAGAAATCACAACCCCCACGCTCTTCGGCTCCGATCTACAACCCCAAAGATGCTGCAGCTGTTTTTGACGCCATTTTGGACATCCCTGTCACCCAGACGCTTCGCCAGACCCTGTCGATTGCCCCAGAAGTCCGTGCTCAATTCCGCGAAGCCACTAGTTTCCGTCGTCCCCCTGCCAAGACTGGCGAGGCAGTGCCTCAATTCCTGCATCCTGTCACTGATAGCACGCCCTACGACCTTCCATATGCTCAGGACGACTCAGATTTGGTCGAAAAAGTGCTTCAGCAGCAACGAAACGAAGATGCACGCCTTGCTTTGGCTGCGGAGCATTTTCCAGTCGCCTACAGCCAGACGTTCCCCCCAGACGCTTGGGTGGTCCCAGATAAATTCGCCGTCTACTACGATCAGACTGGAAGGTTGCCAGACAATCTAGTTGTGGCTGCCGAGTCCCTGGCCATCCGCTCGATCCTCCCAGTGATTGACAACCAGCAACAAGTGGAATGCATCGTCGACAGTGGTTCTCAGATTATTTCGATGTCCCAGGCAACCTGTCACGAGTTGGGACTTGCGTATGACCCTCGAATCGTTCTACAAATGCAATCTGCCAATGGAACAATCACACCGTCGCTTGGACTAGCCCGAAACGTCCCGGTTCGCATTGGGGACATCACATTGTACCTACAGATGCACATTCTGCGTGACGCTGCCTACGCACTCTAGGCAGACTGGTATGAGACCCTAACAGGGTGGTCAAATGGGTCATTTTTGGTACCCGAGTAGGGTCAAATACCACTATGTCGGGCAGCAACCAACTTCCATGTGGGTATGGGTAACCCAGGGTAAAAACGTTGGTCAGGACCAAACAAAGAGCAGGTGGTGCCTACCACACGGACGGAATCAGTGGTTCCAACCAGGGTGTGGAATGTGGTATTTGCCGCCCCGGTACCGTGCAGATATTGAAACTGAATTTTTGCGCAATCAGGGCGGTATTGCAGATAGGACGGGTATGGGCACAGGCTCGAGCGTCGGAGCACTCTGACAACTCTTGCAAGCACCCTGGAGGCCGGGCTGCGGCCATAGGAGCCCCCAGTGCTGTCCGCAGGCCAAATGTCGGATTTTCTGCGATCAGGGTGGTATTGCAGATAGGACGGGTATGGGCACAGGCTCGAGCGTCACAGCACTCTGACAACTCTTGCAAGCACCCTGAAGGCCTGGCTGAGGCTATAGGAGCCCCCAGTGCTGTCCGCAGGCCAAATGTCGGATTTTCTGCGATCAGGCCGGTATTGCAGATAGGACGGGTATGGGCACAGGCTCGAGCGTCACAGCACTCTGACAACTGTTATGAGCACCCTGGAGGCCGGACTGCGGCCATAGGAGCCCCCAGTGCTGTCTGCCGGCCATATGTCGGATTTTCTGCGATCAGGGCGGTATTGCAGATAGGACGGGTATGGGCACAGGCTCGAGCGTCACAGCACTCTAACAACTCTTGCAAGCACCCTGGAGGCCGGGCTGCGGCCATAGGAGCCCCCAGTGCTGTCCGCAGGCCAAATGTCGGATTTTCTGCGATCAGGGCGGTATTGCAGATAGGACGGGTATGGGCACAGGCTCGAGCGTCACAGCACTCTGACAACTGTTATGAGCACCCTGGAGGCCTGGCTGAGGCCATAGGAGCCCCCAGTGCTGTCCGCAGGCCATATGTCGGATTTTCTGCGATCAGGCCGGTATTGCAGATAGGACGGGTATGGGCACAGGCTCGAGCGTCACAGCACTCTGACAACTCTTGCAAGCACCCTGGAGGCCGGGCTGCGGCCATAGGAGCCCCCAGTGCTGTCCGCAGGCCAAATGTCGGATTTTCTGCGATCAGGGCGGTATTGCAGATAGGACGGGTATGGGCACAGGCTCGAGCGTCACAGCACTCTGACAACTGTGAGGCCATAAGAGCCCCCAGTGCTGTCTTCAGGCCATATGTCGGATTTTCTGCGATCAGGGCGGTATTGCAGATATGAACTTATCAACCTTCACACAGGTCTTGTTCTGCTATGATCTGGTTCCTGCTCCCCCTGACTTCATTCACTCTCCCCAGCTGTGGATGTTTCCATCAATTCTCTATGGTTCCCTATGTGAACAGCTATACTGCTTTTACCGTACTGGCCGCCACCATACAGTCCTCTAGATGGTTGCAGCCACTCCACGATGGATATGTGGTTCCAGCCACTTCAGCCCTCCTCCAGTGGCTGCAGCCAACATGCGGTACCAGCCACTTCGTTCCTTCTTCAGTGGCTGCAGCCAACATGTGGTACCAGCCACTTCGTTCCTTCTTCAGTGGCTGCAGCCAATATGTGGTACCAGCCACTTCGTTCCATCCTCAGTGGCTGCAGCCAACATGTGGTACAAGCCAATTCCCTCTTACCCACTGGTTGCAGCCTTTCATCTGGTTGTGGCCACCGTTCTTCATTCAACTGGACAGCGACCACACCCTCCCCGACGGTATTGGTCGCGGCCATTCACTCACTCAACTGGACAGCGACCACACCCTCCCCGACGGTGTTGGTCGCGACCACTCAAATCACTCTTCGTGGTCGCGGCCATTCACTCACTCAAAGGATGGCACAGCGACGATGTCGATTGCGGACAGTGTACAGACCTGACGTGGCAGCAACCGTCCCCCTTTCTACCAGGGTCGTCGCAATGCAGGCACTTGAAAGCAATTCTCACCCGAGGCCATTCTGATCAAACCCAGACTGCTCCAAACTAGCACGTACATCATAATTATGCTCTATGCAACTTTTCACTATCCACTCAAGCTACGGTGAGATAACTTTGCAATGAACAGGGCACCAACCTTCTCATCCCACGGGCACTTTTCACTCTGTTTCTAGATCATGCTTAGCGAGGCGATTCGCAACGCTCAGTACAACTCACTTTTCACACGCCCTGTGAGGTCTGGGGGATCTGAGGGCAGTCGCTATCCAGGAATATCACACGGTGGATCGATGAACGCTTTGCGGATATGGACCCACCCATGAATTGACTCCGCGAGAGTCCTAGCCCCAGTCTTGTGCTGACCGCAGTGGGTAATCAGTCGTCGAGGGACGTTCGGCGGGATTCTATACAACGTCGGGACTATGACACCCATGAGCATACACGAAAGTTGCAAGCACAAACGCGGCGACTTACCGCAGTGTAGGGGCAATCAGGGATCGTGCTGGAGAAAAAAACCACGATCAACCTGCTCCGCCGCAGCTCATGCGCCCGGAAACACCACCTGCTCTTTATCCCACCGGGACATATCTGTGGGATCTAGCCTTAGCGGAAGCGCTGGGAAGAATGGAATTCGGCTCGGCGTCGTCAGAGGGTTCGCTGGAAAAGGTGATGAGATTCATGTATTCGAGTGCGGGATACTGCGGCTCAAGAGATTTTTGTGCCAAACGCTGCGGGTCGGGGGATCGTCGCGCCAGACGCTCAGCAAGCCTTGCGTGAACCATGCGATACGACGAGAGTTTTTTCGGGGAACGAGTGCTGACTACGGGCACATTGAACATGGGCGAGTAAGGCGGCGTCGAAGTCACAGACATACGGATGGATTCTGAGTGCGAGGAAGCGGCCAGTCTGGAGGCGATCGGGGATCGGGACTGTGCGTGCTGGAGTCTACCGCCTGAAGCGGATCCACATGCTGCGCTTTCGGTTTCCATGTTCCGAGTTTGATAGGATGAGGCGATGGCGGAGGTGGACCGGGAGGTGATTTCAGAGACGCGTGGTGGGACGTATTGCGCGTAATCTTCTGCGGAGACGGCGGCCGTCCATCCTGCGTTTAATCGGTATCGCCCTCGCTTGTGGGCTCAGCATAGGCCACGTTTCTCCCCATGTTGATCTCGATAGGCAACGGAAAGGCGGGGGGGAGAAGTACCACGTTTGCTTGGAGTAGCATGGGAGAATTTAAAAAGCTGTGCCCCGATGCGGGACCGCATAATACTGATGAGGGATGGGAGGAGTCATGGCTGTGTCTTGATTTTCAAGTGATTGGAGATCAGAAGTGTGGATCGAGAAGCATTTTACTGCGTGTGGGGACGCCCAGAGTATGTAAAACAAGAGTATTTAGTAGTGCGTACAGCATTCATACAAGAATCGGCGGTCGCTTGACAGCGGTTGTGGCCATTTCGTAGGAGCGCCTAGTAGTGACCAGCCCATGATAGCGGCCTACCTACAGATCCCTAATTGACATGTGCTTGCTCAAGTACACGAGCACGGCAGGATGTGCATGGCTCCCCAGTCGAATTACCCGGCACAGTATCCAAGATACACCGTAGTGGCGGATCAGATTCAAGACGAAGTCCCTCGACTTCACAGACTGGGAAGAAGAAGGACCTCGAGATCTGGCCCCAAAACTTCAGCGACATCCGCAATAGATCGCGGCGATGATACTGGGGTTTTGGTTGAACGAACACCCTCGGTATCCTCCTCGGGGTCCCCGGATGAAACTTGTATATGACAATCACTGAGGCAATCATGAGTCGATATTCACCTCGAGGACAGTAACGTACCCTGATGCAACTCGCAGATAGTCTCCGTGTAACTACAGACGACTTCGCCCGGTGGACAGGTGCAATTCTGGAACGCATAAAAGTCTGAATGAGTGATCATCTTAGTGAAGACTGTGAAGTGTGCTTACAGGTTTCTCAATGACTCCCTCTGTCTGTTCTAGGTCTGAATCCGGTTCCGGCTCGTCTTGTTCCGTCACTCCTTCTACGGAATCCGTCTCCTCCTCTCCTTCGTCTGAACTACAGGAATCGTCCTTTTGTTCAGACTTGCGACACAACGAAAGCTTGGGTTCTGATTTGTAGAACTCGTAGTCTTCCCATGTGCCGCAAGCACGACAAAAGTTGCTGTGCCGCATGAGCTTTCCATTTGTCACAAGATAGCGATACCACCCCAGTGGACCAACAGCTCTTTCGCAGCCCTCGCATGGATCCAAATCGGGGAACTCCGTAGTGACGTTGGGAATGGCGCGCAGGAGCTCGCGGTACTCGAAGAGAATCTGGAAGCCCTTGGTATCTATCGCGTTGATATCGCACAGGTCGTCAGGGTTCAACGAAGGCTGTATCTTCTGGCCTTTAGACACCGTGCCGCAGATGCCCAGCGGTGACATGAACCAGGGATACTCGGCTTGCAGGTCGCAGAGAGGCGGGGGAGCGTCTGTGTCAGTGTCACCTGCCACCACTGGCGACTGCAAGCCACCTTCTGGCGTGATCGAGTCGATATCCATCGGTACGGGGAACAGGTGCGTTGATGGTGAGTGCGTGGCTTGATCCTGCGCAACCACATCCAAATCCATTGCAACCGGAAATAAATCGGTCTGCACGGCAGCCGCAGGCGCGATAGGTGGGCGCACTGGAGGCGCGAGAGGTGGGCGCGAAGGGGACGCGATGGGTTGGCACGCTGGAGGCGCGATGGATGGGCGCATTGGAGGCGCGATGGGTGGGCGCGTTGGAGGCGCGATGGGTGGCAAAACTGACGGAGGCGGCACAGCTGGGCGCGAAGGGGGCGGCATCGTGGGCCGTTCATTTGGAGCTTTTGGAGTACTCGTGTTTGGCTCTGATTTGATGCGGACACGGTGGTGCGAAGGCTGCGTAGGAGGTGGGATGGGTGGGAGCGTAGGACGTGGGATGGATGAGAGCGTAGGAGGCGGCATAGACGGCCGTTCCGGTGGAGCCGGTGGAGATTGGAGACGATCGCTAGCCAGGGAAAAGGATGGCGGCGGGCAACGAAGAGACTTAAATGAGCGGGATGCTAAAGAAATTACGGACGTGTGAGCAGCATAACAAGCCCTGAGCGAAAAATCTCACCGGGCATGGCGGTCTCAAGCGAAAAGGAAAGATAAGCTCATCCATCAACGTGTCACTGATGGACTGGCAGAGATGGGAGGAACGGTGGCAGCGCTCCAATACTCACATGGGGGAAAACCTTCCGGTTCCTCTTCATTCACTCACGGGCAGCAACGGGAATGAGATTGGACATGTACAGAAAACACAAGAGTAACTA